CAGCGGGACTGAGCCGCCGCCGCCCGGCCCCTAGGAGTCACTCCCCGTGGGAAGGCTGAATCCCCGCCCACCTCCGCCTTCCCCGAGTACCACTGGGTAAAGTAAGACCAGTCTCCTTCAGTAGTCGTCTAGCTTGTGCTAAGTCTTCACTCTCCGCCCTGCCCACCTGTGCCCTTAGCAGCTCCCTGCGCTGGAGAACAGGCCAGGAAGTAGTTGGATGCTGGTGCCCACCTCACGGGACCTGCATCCGCTGCTCACCTCATCCCGGTTTGTGAAAACAAAATAGGCATCATCTCACCTGCCTGTGAGCAAGGCTGGGGGCCTGGGCTGTCCTGCGGAAGCACTGAAGATGCAGTCACTTGCTTTCACAGCGGATTTTGAAGAAGGGTGTGGACGGTGAGGTGCAGCATTGCCTATAACACAACACACGTTTTCCTCCAGTTAAAAAGAAACTAGAAGATTTAGTCATATGCCAGGGGCCTTGGGCTGGATTATTCAGTTTAAGATTGAAGCGAAAACAAATATTACTTTACTGGAATAAGTTAAAAACAAGCAAGTTAAAAAATAGGAGGGGCATTACCAGGAGACACTAGCAGACCGCAGAATTGCAGAGGAGAGGATAGGTTGGTTAATGGAACATCAGGACCATTAAAAAGGAGAAACGGTTATTAGCATGTGTGAAATGAAGAGTTTAGAAGGAATCGGGGAGATGATGATGAGCTATGAAATGATTTGATTCTCTCACTGCTGCCTGAGTAGAAATGCTGCTGCCACTGCTAGATAGTTGGTTTTAAACCTTGGGTGGGGCAGGAATCAAAAGGGGGGGGGGGGCAGCTGCATATTCTCCTCCTCCCATCTGCCCCTATTTGCTTCTGAGGCTGAACAACTTTATTAGAATGAGGAAACCAGTATCATCTCTAAATCTTTCATTCTCTTTGTTGGCTTCATAGCTTAAGCACTATGATGCCTGACCTTGGGCTGTATTTAAAGAAGTAGTACCCATTTTCATATTTTGCCTTCTCTTTTTCAAATGGACAAGTTTTAACAACTGTTAATACTTTGAGAGCGTTATTATCCAGATGATTCACAGTTTGTCCAAACCTGTTGGCCATGAGAGAGACATTATCCAATTGATGTCCCTGAATTATCAAATCCCAAAGGTATAAACCCAGTAGGTTTAGGATTCTTCTTATCAAGATCCTCTCCCTTTTCTCAGGCCATAACATAAGCGCTAGTAGGATACTATAGCAATTCATCTGTGTTTGGCATTGGCTGTTGCCTCCAGGTTCTGCATACTTTGGTCAGCCTAACCTTGTTGGTGCTGGGACACATCCAGTAACAACAGGTAAAGTTGCACAGTATCTTTCCTCATTCAGCCATAGGTCACAACCTGGGTAAGCTTCAGCTGCATTCTGGTATTTAAAGGATAAACCCTCATGTTTCATACAAATGGCATCTTTCAACTTGACATTCTTGAAGCAGGGCCACTTAGTATAAAAGTTGGCAGTTTTATTTTGCTGTGTTGCCCCATGAACAGGGATGGGGGTGGTGTGGATGCTAAAGTGCATGGTTGATAGTCCAAGGGTTGCAAGTTTGAGGCTATAGTAGAAGTGCTCATGGCGCAATCCTGTCATATTCCAATGAATCTACAAATTTTGCTATGTACTTTGTCACAACACACAGGATCAACACCAGATTCTGTGGGAAATGGGCAAGGGCTACCGCACCAAGGATGGGTGCAGCAAAAGAAGCTGGTCCAAAGAAAGGATCTGAGAGTTGCAACACTCAATGTGGGGAGTATGACAGGAAGAGGTGGAGAAGTGGCGTTCTTGTTGGAAAGGAAGAAAGTACATATTGCGTGTGTGCAGGAAACTGAGAGAGATTGGTGGAGGATTTATAGCAGTGGAGACAGAAGAAATGGAGTCAAGATGATCCTGTGCAAAGAACTGAAGGACAAAGTGTTGGAAGTTGAAAGGAAGAACAACAGGATTGTGAGATTGAAACGACAATGGAGGCCTACTGATGAGCATGATGAGCATGTATGTCCCACAAATAGGGAATCCAGTAGAGAAGGAGAACTGGAAAAAGGTGGATGAGATGATGCAACAGGTTCCAGACAGTGAAATAGTGGTGGGGGAGACCTCAATGGATAGGTTGGGCGAAGTAGAAATTGCTACATGGGGGACATATATTCAGAGACCTCAATGCAGAGGGGGAAAGGATAGTAGATTTTGCAGTATCTTACTGTCTCGCAATTTCAAATACATTCCTCCAAAAATGAGAAGAACATCTGATCATGTACAAGAGTGGACTTAGAGAAACTCAAGTGGATTATTTGCTAGTGAGGAAATGGGGTTGGAAAGAGGTGAAAGACTGTAAGGTGATCCCAGGATGGTAGTCATGGGCATGAAGGTGAAAGCTGTAAGATAATTTTCTCAACTCCTTGATATTTAGTAAGTGCTGGAGGTTGCAGCAGGAAAAGGAAACTAAGAGAGGCCTTCAGAACAGGAGTGTTGGAAGAAATAGGTTGAAGAAATAGAAAACCCTGAAAGTTAGTGGCAACAGGTGGTGGATAAGATCAAGAAAAAAATCTGAGGAGCGCCATCTGGAAAGATGCCCATCAGGAAGGAAACATAGTGGTGAAATGAGGAAGTCCAGAAAGAGGTACGGGAGAAAAAGGAGAAGTGTAAGAAATGGAAAGATACAGGGGACCCTCTGGACTTTGAAGTATACAAAGTAGAGAGGAAGAGTGCAAAGAGGACTGTTGTTAAGGCCAAAAACACTGCAACGGACGATATGTATAAAAGGCTATAAACAAAACAGGGACAGAAGGAAGTGTACAGGAATGCTAAGAGAAGAGAGATTGATGAGAGATGTAACGTGAGAATGATCAAGGACGAGTCTGGGAGACTGGTGGCGAACGAAGAAGAGATTAAGGACAGGTAGAACTATTTTGAAGATCTGATGAACAAAGAGAACCCAAGAAGTTCGCAAGCAAATGCCACAGAAAACCAAGGCATGGTGACTGACATCAGCAGAATGGAGGTGAAAAGAGCATTGAACAAAATGAAGAATGGTAAAGCAACAGGACCTGATGATATACCAGTGGAAGTTTAGAAAGTCTTGGGGGAAGAAGGAATCAATATATTGTGTAAGCTGTTTAAAGAGATATTTGCAATGGAGAAGATGCCAGATGAATGGAGAGGGAGTGTGTTGGTGGCAATATTCAAGCAGAAAAGTAATGTCCAAGATTGTGGCAACTGTCAGGGAGTCAAATTGATGTCTCACACTTTGAAAGCATGGGAAAGATTGGTGGAGAATCGGTTAAGGACTAAAAGAGTGGTGGAGAATCAGCTAAGGACTGAGATAGTCATTGGAGAAGGCCAGTACAGATTCATGCTGGGGAGAAGTATCATGGATCTGGTTTTTGCAATAAAACAGATGATGGAAAAATACAGAAAAGGTGATAAAGATATCCATTTCATTTGTATTGATATGGAGAAAGCCTACGATCATGTACCCAAGGAGGAAATATGGAAGTGTCTGAGAGTTAAGGAGGTGCCAGAGAAATATGCCAGAACCGTCAAGGACATGTATTGGAAATGTACATTGAAAGTGAGGAGCAGTTCAAGAGAGAGAGAGTTTTGAGGTGAAGGTGGGCATACATTAAGGGTCAGCTTTGAGCCTGTTCCTGTTTGCAATCACGATGGATATGTTTACTGAACAAGTAAGAAGGAGACCACCCTGGAACATGATGGTTGCAGATGATGTGGTCATTTGTAACGAGAGTCTAGAGGAAGTGTAAACTGGATTGGACCAATGGAGAGAAGTGCTAGAGGGAAGAGCAATGAAGATTAGTCTATCCAAAACTGACTATATACACTGTGATTTCTCTGAGGTACTTGATGCTGGAAATTTGATAATCAATGAAAAACACTTTAAAAAGGCTGACAAATTCAATAGGCCTGTGCGAAGTGTTAACTATTCAATTCGGATTCGGCCAATTCAGAGGGACAGTGATTTGATTTGGTGATTCAAGTTTCTGTTCTGATTTGATTCGGCCGAACTGGATTCAGAGATTCAGCCATAGACTATAATTGGGAATCACTAAAATACCTATAATTTTGTCATTTTTTGCCAATTTGGATTAACACAGCAGGGATGGTAGACCCTTATGAGGGCATGAAGCCTGCTGAGTCCCAAGGAGATAGGTGCAGGTGTTTCTGTGAAAGTGCTGCTCAACCTGTTGAAAGCAAAACTCATATCACTTGTGTGTATTAAGGGGTGTAAATTGTAGCCGTGTTGGTCTAAGGACATAGGCAGACAAGGCTCTTTGGGTCAATCTGATATCTTTTATTAGACCAACTGAATAGTTGGAGAAATATTTCTTAGCAAGCTTTCAGGTTTAAAAACCCTTCATCAGGCTGAGGAAGCATCTGCAGTTGGTGTGAATGGAATGAATAGTAAAGAAGCCTAGAGGCTGGGCTGCAGGCAAGAAAGCCAGTCAGTGAAAATGTAAATTGAGGTGTCAGGGGGTGAAAGACAGGATGGGGGCGCAGGGATGTAGCAGGTAAAAGTGGAGAGGGGCCTGGGGAGTCAGATGTCAGGCAAGTTGTAGTGTGTCCAAATTCTAATGTCCATATTGAGTCCATGAGTTTTTATATCCAGTAGATTTATGAAGTGAGGTGTTTAGGCTTGTCTGTGAAAAGTAGTTTGGAAATTCAAACAAGCACCGAACCTTGCTAACCTCATTACCAGAACCAACCTTCCTACAGCCCAAAACAAACCAAATGGATCCAGACCATACCATGACAAGAAATGCAAAACCTACCAACGTATCTCCAATACCCCCACAATTACTACACCCCACAACAGAAACATCACCATTCCTGGATCTTACAGCTGCACCTCCAGAAATGTTATCTCTCTCATCCAGTGCACCAAATGCCCCGATGGAAAATATGTAGGAGAGACCAAACAACAATTGTACAATAGAATGAATGTACACTGGACATTATTATAAAGACAGGAACACCCAATTACCAGTGAGGGCACATTTCTCATAAGAAAACTGCTCTCCAGTCTCTCAGTCCTGATCCTCAAAGGGAATTTACAAAACACCTTTTGTAGACAAGCCTACAAACTTCACTTCATAAATCTACTGGATATAAAAACTCATGGACTCAATATAGACATTAGAATTTTGACACACTACAACTTGCCTGACATCTGACTCCCCAGGCACCTCTCCACTTTTACCTGCTACATCCCTGCGCCCCCATCCTGTCTTTCACCCCCTGACACCTCAATTTACATTTTCACTGACTGGCTTTCTTGCCTGCAGCCCAGCCTCTAGGCTTCTTTACTATTCATTCCATTCACACCAACTGCAGATG